AATAGTTTTTATTTAGAGATTTGATTACTTTCTCTCTTTTTAAAAGAAACTCTATTATTTCTCAATTCTATTCTCGTTTGTTGTCTTAATACATTTCACAAATACCTTTCGTATATTGTTGCGCTAGTGATCTGATGTACTGGGAGAAAACATCCGAGAAGCCTTTTTAACACTTTCTAACTAAAGATTATTGTCTAGAATAATAAAAAACAAGAAACAAAAGTATACAAATTCAACGATACAAAAATTATGAAAATAATTATACAAAACAAAATTATGTAAAAATAATTATACATGAAAGTTAATAAAAATAAATAAATTGTTGAAGTTACAATTAAATCCATAAGATGTAGACAGTAAGTTAAAATGTGACATGTAAACAAAAGACTCCAGAGAGAGAAGCGCACCAATAATATATACACTGAGAATATATAAGGTAATATATATTTATGAAGTTGATTTTGCCAAATTTCTATATTAATAATGAGTGTTTTGCCAACAATGTGTTTTTTATACTTATGTAATTAACTAACTTTGTGAAACATTCATATATATAATATATTTAGTTTGGTTTACTTAGTTTGAGTCAAAAATGACTCAATAGAAAATTATTTGAAATAATAAAGGCATATCCCGACCAGGAGCGCACGTGCTTTTTAGATGGCAGAGCGCCATCTAGTGGAACAGAAATCAACTAAACATTGATTTAGCATGTTCCCTGATATTTTGCCAACCTATTTCCTTGATAAATCAAGAAAAGCCATCCACGAACGCGTTTTAAGAAGGGGTCGGTGGAAGGTTGGTTAAACCTTCTGGTTTTCGACCATTACGACGCGGGTTCGATTCCCGCATTGGACACCTTTTTCTGATTTAAAAAACAATGCTCCAATGGCCCCCAATTCTTGCAAAGACATGTGGTGCGCTTACAGTAAAAGCAGTCGCTAACTACCCACTATGATTATCATGGCCAATCCCACGTGTACTAGGGAAAATTAAAAAAAAAAAAAACGAACGCGTTTCGCGCTGTTGGCGCTCGTCAGCGTGGAGCAGACTGTACCACTGCGACCAAAAATATATTTGGTCTCAGAGGCTTCTTGATAAACCAAGAAATGGGTGTTTAAAGCCAAACTTGCGTAAATATGCTTAACACATGAATAGACACATGAGTTAACACAAATAGAAAATTATACAAGATAAAAATGATAGTTGTAAAACGAAAATTGCAATTATACCGCGAATGTTTCTTTTATACAAAAATCGAAATTTATTTTCAAAGAGAAATAGCGACTATTTCTAACTTTAAGGATGAAGTATGATAGGATGAATTGTGAAGAGTAATGGCGAACGGAAAAATAAAAGTGTCCAGGGGCGGGAATCGAACCCACAACCTTCTGCTTACCGGGCAGGTGCCATGTCCACTAGGCTACCCTGGACGTATTCTTCCGTTCGTAAATGATATTTTAAATATATATAATAAATATTTTTAAAAAATGATAGTTTTCAAGGATTAGTTATTATTTTGTTGAAAATAGTTCAAAGCGCTAGCTATGTGTCAAAAATATATACATTTTAATCACTAAACATTTGTCAATAAAATAATCCCTTGTAGAAATATCAGGATGAAAATATCAGCCTTCCAGGGATAAGTTTATTTTTGGAAATGCAATTCACAAAAATCTCTAGCTTTCGGACACCTAACCTCTTCTACAGGAACCGCGTACGTGGTTATGATTTTCTTGATTAATCAAGAATGGTATTTGGCCGATATTTATATATTTTATTCCGATAGATGGCGCAAGCCATCACCAACTTTCAATTACACGGTCAGGAGATGCCTTTTTCTTGAAGAGGAATCATGATACAATAATCGCCATTAACAGGAGTTGATATAATGAAATACATGTATTTCACTTAATTTCACAAAAATGCTATAAATATATAGAATTTTCATTTTCATTTTTTTTATTTAAATATTAGAAGCAAATGGGCAAATTTCAAAATAGATTTCAAAAAGGTAACAAATGAATAAATATAGGATTCTAGGATATAGCTATGAGAGCAAGTAATACCTAATAAGCTGTAGTTATTGTTAAGGCATGCGCGCGTACATCTGGTTTCACTATTGCTATTCAAAGAATATAACAAAAACAATAGAAGTAATTATCCTATTATTATTAAGAATGTCATATACTCCATAGAATGAAAGTATTCCAAAGCAAATATATTTCTTCTATCTGCTCATTTTGTTGCTTATTTGTTTAACGTACGTGTTTATTCAATGCTCTTTTTCTTAATTGTTTATTTTCTTTTTGATAATTATGTTACCTACTCTACTACAATATGAATTATTGTAAATAATTTCACGCGCAATTTTCCAGATCGGATATAGCATGTCTTGTTTGCAACTGTTAATGAAATAATAAAGCAAATATATAGCTGAAACTAGCAGAAATTAAAACTTAGAATAATAGAACATGAACAAATATCGACAATCAAGACAGTTGTTTCATTAATACATTATCATATAGCAGGCCATTCCTTCTTCCTCTCAGAACCAAAGAACAATTATTCCTAAACAAGAGACTCATCATAAAAAAGTACGTTTCTTGACCAATCAAAGTATTTGGTTATTACCACGGTATTTGGCCAAATCTGGAATATTTAAAAATCAATGATTAATTGGTATTTATTTCGATAGATGGCGCAAGCCATCAGCACTCTTTAGTTGAAGATCAGGAAATGCCTTTTTTTCCTTAATTTATCCACCTGATCCAAGTAAAAATTCAATTTTGTACTATTTTCATATATATATATATATATATTGTGTCATATAAAATAGACGAATTTTAATAGATATTTGAGAAATATTTTAAAATTTGATTAGCTTAAATTGAACAATTAACATTTTTTTATGACCATTAGTATAATTTTAGTGCTTAATTTAGCTAATTAAACAATTAAAAGTGTTAATATAGAAATAAAATAGGGAAAATTATATTTTATAAATAAAATAGAGGTGAAGAATTGTAATGAATACTTTGAAAATGATTTTGAATTGTTAATATCGTGTCAGTAAACTTCTTCTAAATTTGTTGTTAGAAAATAGCTAACTGAACTGACATTATATATTTTTATTTTTTTTTGAACAAATCAAGCATAAAACCCCTCTCTTTTATCAATATAAAAAAATGTTATATTTCATAAAATCGCGGATGGCAAGAGGTGCCACTATATATATACTAGCCGAATGACCCGGGCAACGCCCGTGTTTTACCCGATTGAATGTTTTTATTCAAATACTATTTGTTACAATTATAAATTGGCGCCTTAAATAAATACATATATTAGTTAATAACTATAGCCTATGTGCTTTATCTGTCTATGTACTGTTGGCTTCCGTAGGCGTCTCATACTGGGAAAAGGAAAGAGAGGATTCCATTTAGTTATTGACTAATATATGCATTTATTTAAGGAACGACCCGCTCCCACACAATGGTTACAAAAACGAAAAAGCGAGTGGGGGGGGCATGATAGGGCAAAGGTGGCGTGATCGTAGCCGACCAATAGGAGGGCGCCATTCCAAAAAAAAAGCAAACGGTGACAGAGATGACTGATGAAGAATGACGCTCGTAACTGTATATAGAATATATATGTTTTTATATTCTTTCATATAGGTAAATTAAATACCGAGCAATAGTTAATATATTGTGTTATTTATAATATATTATATTCTTACACAAACACACAATTTTTTTGTTCAAAACCCAACTCAACAATTTATTTTATCAAAATCTTAACAATGCTATTTTTATAGAAATGTAATTTATTGCCTTTTTCATTCCTCATTTACGACACACTGCGTAAATAAGGTTTGATGGTTATTTTAATGCGGGGGTAATGGATTTCGCTACACGTCTCATTAGACCAATTAAAATTACTTTAAATGTAATTTAGGGGATCATTAAGAATACGCAATTATCACATATAGCGTGAGTACATCTGTGACAATTTGCTAGACATCATTATCTACTACATATAATGTAGTACTTAAAACTACATCCGACCTGTACAGGTATTTTAATTAATAATATTACTTTTTTTATTGATTTTTATTTTTCAAAAATGATCAATTTAAATTCCAACAGCTTAGAGTAAAGTTTATCGTTGAGAGAAGATCGGATTAATTCGGTGTTTTCAGACAAATTTTAAAAATAAAGGAGGAGGTGAATTTGTGCTTTTTTAAAAACTTGTTTTTCTTAAAGATACTTGTGATATATACATATCTATTTTTTTCTATTGTTTATTTCATATATATATCCGAAATAGATCTACGGCCATTTAATGCCTCTTTGAGTAGACCAAACAAGTGGAAATCCTAAGGGGCAAGGTCAGGACTATACAGACTAAGAGCCAGTACCTTTTCAAAGTTGAGTTTCTGTGTGTTTCAACGGTGTGGGCTGCAGTATGTAGACAGGCATTGTCGTACAACAACACAACACGTTTTGGCAGCAGTTCTTGGCGTTAGCTTCGAATTTCAGGTTTGAACCTGTCAGTAAGCATCTCACTGTAATGCTCGCTGTTTGCTGTTGTGCACCATTTCTGTTAATGTTTCACTACTACGCTTTGCGAGTCCAAAATAAAACTGTAAGCATTAGTTTTCCTATGGATGATTGGCTTTTGAACTATTTATTTGGATGTTTCCATTCCATACTCCCACTCTCACTCTACGAGTCGTAATCCATGTTTCGTCACCCGTGTCTGTTTAAGATGTTAAGTTCAGAGCGATGTTTTTGGCAGATATCCAAGCGCTGTTGTTTATGCAAATGTGTGAGTTGTTTAGTTACTCCTCGTATATTAAAAAACGCATCTCAAACCTGTGATGTAACAATATAAACTATTTCGCTAAATAATACAAAGTTATCATTATATTTTTTTTCTACCCTCGGAGTAATGGGTTGTTAAATATTTAATACAGATTTATTCAACAGATTACAGAAAAGTCAACATTCTCTGCTCTCGAGTTTTTAATATGTTGTAAGATGGTCGAATGGTCTAAATTGTGAAGTCTTCGGCCAAAATACTTCTTGCCAAACTTTCATGGTTCCTCTTCCATGGTCGCCAAAAGTGTCCGGTCGTACAGAATTTGATGGTTAAACTTTTCCGTCGTCTGCGCGGTTTATAATGACCGGTTTCAACTTGAGCGATGGCTAATTGTTACTTTGCCGTATTTTCATTATAAAAAAAGGATTATTGTTGTTTAGTTGGAGAATTTTAGCAACAAAATATCTCTCTCTTAATGACGGCTTATATATCCATTTTTCATATGTTAATACTAGTGATTTTCTTTTGATTATTTGTATCTTTTTTCTTGTGGACACACTTTTGCAAATCCGGGTTTAATTTCTTAATTAGGTTTTTGTATATATATATATATATATATATATTGTTCTGAAACTAGAGCAACCCATACTTAAATCATTAGATAGTAAAAAGGCATATATAGGATTGAATAAAATATTAGCAAATAAATATTTTATTCAAACCAATATATGCCTTTTTACTATCTAGTATAATTATATACATTATATATATATTTATTATCATATATCAATATTCAAATAACTTTCACTTTATTTACTATTCTCCTTTGCAAAACTTCGTGGTAAATCCATCTCTAAAAGATTATGTGTGAATATAGTATTTTCTCTTTGAATATTTTGAACATAACACTAATTTCATTTTAAAAATCGTGGAAAAACGCCGCAATGGTATTTATATACACCGACCTTATATTTAATTTCAAATTTTAAACTAGGTATCTGCAACAATTTAATAGAAGTGAAATAAAGTTAGAGTATATAAATATA